TGACGGTGTTTACTGTGCTGCTACATGATGAGTTGTGAACAGTCTGAATTTAAAATGAAAACTCACTCCCGTTTTTTTTTTTTTTTTGCTTTTTTTTTTGTTTTTTTTGCCTTGTCTTCACTGGTGCACGAAACTGCAAACGCATGCCGTGAAATCCTTTTCAGTCTTTTTGATCAATTCATTAAAATATAACTGGTTCATGAGAGTCATTCTTTTCTAATCAATTTGTTCATTTAAAAGAAGGTTCATATGAATTGTTCGTTGTTAAGGAATTGACTCTGTTCACGTGAATTGGATAATAGTGTTGCATACGAAATCACATTCGGCCAGAGTAGATAACATTTGAATTTGAACTCACTTCACAACCATTAAAAAAAATAGTTTTTTCTATATAGTTGTCAGGGAAAGTAAGGGTAAGTTCTAAGTTTTATTGTGCAGATGGATCGCAGTCAGAGATAACAGGTGAGGATCAAATGACTTAGAAACATAAATGAGCTTAGCTGGTGATTAATGTCCTTTTCTCTGTTGCAGATGAGTTGGCGGTGGTTCGAGGAAGATGGATTGGTCTTTGAAGACCAGGAAGCAGGTAGGGAGTCTGTGAGCCATGAAATGACGGGACCAGACAAGTGACTGCAATGAGAGTGAGTGCTTTAAATAGTTCATGTGGGTGATGGGACACAGGTGACGGTGATCAATAATCAGGGGATTGTGAACAGGGAAGTGTCCGATTGGGTGAGAGGGAATGAGTGGGCGGCGATGAGGATCGTGAAGGGGATGGAATCATGACAATAGTATGAATATGGGTAGTATGAATAAAAAACGAACGTTGTTATTGTCATGTGACCTGTGTAGTATATCACACCAAAATGAAACAACATTATAAACAGATATGACTGTAACTCTCTGGCCATAACTAGACTTAAAATTAATCAACCTGTCACTTCACATTCTGAAGTGTGCATTCATCTTATGAGACAGTGAATGCACACTTCAGAATCTTGCAGGAAGTAGGGACTTTTCGCCTACTGTTTTTCGAATATACTCTCAGAAAAAAAGGTACAAAAGTTGTCACTGGGGCCGTACCTTTTCAAATGATAAACTTTTATCCATTTCATGAGCTAATAAGTACATTTTACGTGTTAATATGTACATTTTGGGTGCTAATATGTACATTTTAAGTGTTAATATGTAATATGTCCATTTCAGGATATGTCAATTTCATGAGCTTATATGTCCATTTTAGGTGCTAATATGTACATTTTATGTGGTAATATGTCCATTTTAGGTGCTAATATGTACCACTAAGGTACCAATATGCAGCCTTTGGGTACAAAAGTGTACCTTTTGAAAAGGTACCGCTCCAGTGACAGCTTTTGTACCTTTTTTTTCTGAGAGTGTAGTTGCGTCGCAAATGACGCTCTTATGTATTTATGCACTCTGTACTCATCTGCGTAGTGTGTGAATTTTATGTTATTTTGTCATTCAACATTGGAGTCAAGTGCATGAAGATTCCAACATTTTTTCTGTTAATTTAGCACATCATCCAGGTATTTAAAGATTTATTTTTGCCATTTATTCGATAGGACAGTAGCTAGACAGGAAGTGGGAGGTGGGAGAGAGAGAGGGGGGAAAAGGCTTGGTAAAGGTCCACGAGCCGGTACTCGAACTTGGGTCGCCCGAAGCATAACGGCGCACTTGCCCAAAAGGCTATCGGCAATGACCATCATCTGAGTATTCAAAGTGCACTTTTTCTTTTAGAATTTTCAGTGAACTACTCACACTATTTATACTTAAAATGTCATAGAATAGTACATAAGTATGCAAATTGGGATGCATCTTGGTTGGTATTCGGATATACTACTATATTGGCATACTGTTTTTCACATACTAAATAGTTTTTGGATACAGTGCAGGTGTGTTCCATTGGAATCAGTAATCGCTTATGCCTAAATTCTAAACTTAAGCATACTTTTTTTAAAACTCTCAACCCAACTGCAAGTAGCCTATATATTAAATTCTAGTTTAGAAATATTACTTAACTTTCTAAGTAAATTAAATTAATGAAACCAAAAATGTTGCCCTATATAATTCTGTGAATGAAACAAAGGCTTTAATGAAATCCCCAGTATGTTTCCCAATGTTTTTTAAGCTGCTTAAATGTACTAAGCAAATGGTGAATTATTTTTACTAAATATAGTAAAAATATTTTAAATATTTTATATTACTAAAATGCATTTTGCTTAATGTTAACATGTTACAACAGGGAGTTGATGCACTCATAAGCACCCCATCCAGTTGTTGGTCCCCTAGGCTCGTCTATGCCTAGAAACGGCCCTGGGCATAAGGGTGAGTAAATGATGGCAGAATATTCACTTTAGGGTGATAGTACATCTCGCCCACGTCCTTTAATATCCTACAGCTTCAACCTCTTGTGGACTCACATTATAAAGGAACATACAATAGGACTTAAAGGAGAACTCCGGCGCAAAATGAACCTTTGGCCTAAAAAAAAAACATCGGTACCTAGTCAATCGCTCTCTGAGATTTGTTTTCATGATAATCGAATGTAAAGTTTTATCTCTAAAAACTGTTTAGCGTATAACGCTAGTATATGGGGCATAGAATAAGTAAAAAGAAATTGCTAGTTTATACCACTAACAAGGCTCAAAATAGCCCCACACTAACACTAACATAAAGAGGGTCCATACATGCAAAACGAAGCATTGAGAACTTTGTAAGTGTACAGATCATTTAATAAGATACTTTATAAAGACAGTACACTTCGTGCATACAGACAGAAGCCATCTTGGAAAACGGTCACGACGTCGTGCTGAGTGAGCTGAACTGTATGAGGTTCAGCGAACTTCTGAACTGTACCACTACCAAGACTATTTTCTAAGATGGCTCCTGCCTGTATACACAAAGTGAACCGTCTTTATAAAATATCTTCTCTTATTAAACGGTCTGTACACTTACAAAGTTCTCAATGCTTCGTTTTGCATGTATGGACCCTCATTATGTTACTGTGTTAAGTGTGGGGCTATTTTGACCCTTGTTAGTGGTATAACCTAGCGATTTCTTTTTACTTATTCTATGCCCCCATAGACTAGCGTTATACGCTAAACAGTTTTTAGAGATAAAACTCTTAACATTTGATTATCATGAAAACAAATCTCAGAGAACGATTGACTAGGTACCGATATTTTATTAGACCAAAGGTTCATTTTGTGCCGGAGTTCTCCTTTAATTAATGGAAAAGAGCTACATACTGTACATCTTTTCTCTATAAGTTAATTCAATAGCTACATCAAAACAAGGCCTAATATTCACCACCATCACCACCAGGCCAAAGTTTGTCAGGGCCAGACTGTTCTGGGACAATGTAATCAAACATAATGGACTTTTGGCATGTTATGAAGCTTGTACAGCTAGGCCTGGATTATGGACCTGGAGCCCCAGGGCCTCATGCTGTTAGGGCCCTCCAAACCCTCTGCATATATAATCAGCTGACAACTATGGCCCCCAGCCTCTTGTCGAATACAGCTCAAGCTGACCACTAGGAGACCATCGTGAGCCGGTCCCCGGCTTCTATTTTTAGATCCAATGGAAGCTTTTTCCTCAAACCATCCTGATGCTCAATAGCAGTGACTCACCACCTCCCCCATCCTCCTACCTGAAAAGTCTACTAGCCGCTAAAAGGGATGCATATGTGTATGAAATTACAGTACCAACCTCAGTGTAATAGTTCTCCATTCAGCACTGCAATAAAGCACTATACAGAGAACTACATTGCATATTAATGTTCTATTCGTTGTTGCCCACTACTGGTAATGTTCTTTTTATTTTTCTATTTCCTTACGTTGACTGCCTCATGCTAAATGTGCACGGCACACTGGAGAAAGTACATATTATTTCCAGTGCAGCAGAACAATAAACCTTGACTTGACTCGATCAATGCCAAGGATAGACGGTTTCTAATACACCAAGAAAAGTGTTTTGAATTCGTACAGACATAATATTTCACACGTATCCTTAACTTAATTGAAACTAAGTCGCTGAGAGACTTTTCAGTAAAGTGAAGACATTTCAGTCTGCAATTTCTAGCTTTTCCCCTGCAGTCTGTTGAAGGACACTAGGGGGAATGGATGCTATATTTGAATGCTTTTCAGAGAAGAACTTTACATGCCCTTTTGTGGTCTTTAAGAGCAGTTTCTAACCATAAGTTTCATAAGATACATCTATGAGAAGACTTGGCCGCATAGTAGGCACGCATTGACGTAAGCTTTCAATGGGCAAGGCCAAACACAAGGCATGCAAGCAGGTTAAAAGAGCCTTTTGCATGCCTGAAACTGGTTTGGATAGTTGGCTGATAGGGTGTGTGACACAGCTGCCTTTAACCTTTCTTCAATTAGCTTTGGGACTGACAATAGCACAGAATAAACAAAATGCGTAAGCAAGGGCTGAGCTGCTATTTCACTCGTATGATCATTCAAATCGAGTCAGAGTTTGGCATACTGTTCTGGTCCGGTCTACCAGTGGTTTATATGAAAAAATCAGCCTCCGATTAGATTCCAAGACATTCATTGAAAATGTCCCATTTACAAATTACTTTGCATTCAACCATCAATTCTGATGTTAATTGGTATTTACAGCACAAGGGATTCATTGTCAGTGAATAGGGCTAATTATTTATTGGTGTTTTAGGGAGGGAAAAAAAAAGCCAGAGCACATTTCCCAGCATCCCTATAGGCAGGAACAGTAGACATTACCAAGTGATGTTTGGTAGTGGTGCACTCATGGGATTCAAAGTTCATAACAGTCACAAACAGGAAGCTGTTCAAAATCCACATGTGGAAAAGGGATAAAATGATGAATACAATACCCGCAATAACATTTAGCAGCGCGCCGTCACAAAAGTGTCGACAGGCTACCAATGCCCATGAAAGTGTATGTGCACACAGTTACATAGAAAAATAGCACTGTCAAAAGTTTTTAAGCTCTTTAAGGTTTCAATCTTCACTTCTTTTTAACAAACTGTACGTTTCTGACATGGCATCAAAAAGAGTCAAAAGTGGTAGAAGTTCTGTCAAGAGAAAGGAACAGTCAAGTCTACTATTTGTTTGTTTCAGGTTATATCAAATTCATACACAGAAGGACAAGATTGCGTTGACCCCCCCATTGCACTTGAGGCCTTGCACAGTCCCGGTGGATGGTTCCAACAGTGAACGGGCTCGACTGAGTAATTCAAGATGGTCTTGCAGTTACAAGGGAGGTAAGAGAGCAACACATTTCCTTTGAAAAGTAAGTTGTTGCGAGAAAACAGTGAAAAGAAACGTGAGAATTATAATCATAACAACAGCAATGATATTGCAAGCAATCGTAATAATAGAACAACAAGGTTCAAAAGGAAAATACATTTAATTCCTATCATTAATATAATAAAGTTATATATCCAGCACTGTTTTTTTTTTTTTCCTTTCAATTTTTTTTTAACAGAATCTTCCTCCAAAAAGAGTTAGGTAAGGTAGTGCACTATTCATTTCTGTGGAATTATACAGCCACCATTAGTTGGCTCCAAATTGGACAACAATCAAGCAAAAAAGAAGCCACAGTTTCGCTGATCAGCATGGCGTGTTTTTTTTATAGTCATCCCAGACACCTGAGAAAACTGATAAGAAATCAGATCTATCTTTTTTATCGGAAAGATACTACATTTATATATTCAAGTTATGCAAATTACATCTATAGTCACATATTCAAGCATATACTCATGTACACACATATATCTAGTGAGAGAATAGTTCAATATTTAATATATAATATAATATTGTACTTTGTATGGTACAGTAGTATTAGGGTGCATGTCTTTTTTTGGGGATGTGGGGTTAATTTTTGAGGAGGTATAGGTATACTTGTGACTGTCTATATATATATATATATATATATATATATATATACATACACGATTCCTCATACACCGATCAATAATCATAAAAAATCAAAATAGAGCAAAGGTTATAGGCAAACAGGTTATAACTGTTGGATTATGTGCGTTTGGGTCAAGAGACTGGGTGAGCACCATAAAAAAATAATGCATTTTCCTGCACCAGAAAAATATGCATGCGCCAGCATGCAACTCACTCGCTGACCTGGGTGAGAAATGCCAAACCAGCACCGATCACAACGTCAAAAGCTCGAGGAAGAGAGAAAGAGAGAGAGAAATAATATTGCTGTGTTTAACAGTTCTGTGGTTCACGTCTTCAAAGAGTCTGTTTGTGCATATATATTTATATATTGTACTGGCCATAGAAACCCACGTCCAGTTTGTGTCAAAAAGAGTGTGTGTGTGTGTGCGCATGTGGACGTATTTGCTTTAACATTTAAATATATACATGAAAAAACCTTCCCAGACATAGTGACATGATGTAATGCCACTGTTCTCTCTCTCTCTTTCTCTGTCTCTCTCTCACCTCAGGATAAAACAAACACAAACATTGAATTTTAAGAAAAGGAATCAAAGATACCAAAACAAGTGCTTAAACAAATCCATGATGAAAAAAATTTAACTATACAGTTTTCATGTTCACTATTTTTCTTTCCGTTACTCTTACTGACGTTCGTCCCTCAAGTCTTGTTCTTGCTGACCTGCCTGGCTGCTCCTGATGTTGAAAATATATCATTTAATGATAACGATCCTGATTTTTTCTTCATATAGCCCTCTTTCAGTCCAGCTCCCCAAACCCTCCCACCCATATATAAAATATACAAAAAAGATTATTTCCAAAATCTCATCGCCTGCCTGCTTCTGCAAGTATAAAAATATACAGTTTTCCTATGTCAAAATCTTTCTCACTCTCGCTGCCATCCGCGTTCCCTCCTCCGCCTCTTCGTCTAGTTTATTATAGCTGACCCTAACAGTTCAAAAATATACAATGTTTTTTCGTCATAGAAAAAAATGACATATCTACCACCTCCTGTATAATTCTCTCTCTGAGAAAATCATCCTGTATAGAAAGAGGATGTTTACAAGGGCTACATGACATTATAAATTATCGGCCTTTATGATCCGTGAGTATTTTAAGAGAGATTGGATCGCACATCCACAGTCAAAGTTTGGAGTGGTGTCCTAGGTAAAGAGCCGACGCTTATGAAATACGCTTGTGCTTGCATGTAGTCCTTGTGCGCATCCCTCACGCTGGGGCTGTTCAGCTTTGAACCACAACTTTCAAGCATTTGATTCAATTAAGCGCCGCCCCAGTGAATTCAACCGATCCCTGCACGTACGAAAAGAAATTTGTGAACAGTCTGAAAGTGCTCATTCGAAGCAATCGCTATGAGAAAATGCAATTCCAGGACGAGTTCAACAGCCCTTGAAACTCTATTTCAAAAGCAGTAATTGTCTTTCTCTTGCTTCCGTTTCTCCTTTCACCTTTTCATAAGTCTCCATGGCGGCTCTCGTATTTGTTGATGATGTTGCGACAGCGGCCCAGCTCTTTTCGCATATCGGCGACCTCTTGTCGAAGGGCAGCGTTCTCCCGTTCCAGGAATGCCGCTCGAACTGAAATCTGGTTCTCCTTGAGCCGGCGGGCGTCGCGAGAACGTTTCGCCGCCTCGTTGTTCTTGTAGCGCCGGTTCCAGTACCTGTCGTCCTTTGAGGGTGAAAAGAAAGAAATGGGTCAGGTCATAATTACAGATGATACAACATTATATTAGTTTTTCAACAATTTTACAGTTTTTTTTTTTAAATATCGGTATCCGTTAATATTGGATATTTAATTGTGCATGCTCATTTACACATGCAAAATTAAATACATTTAAATACGTTTTTTTTTTTTTTTTTTACATTTAGATTAGATTAGCATTTAACCCTCACTTAAAGGGATAGTTCACTTTGAAATTAATTTGTGATATGTTTTAGCTTACCTCAAGGGCATCCAAGATGTAGGGATCTTTGTTTCCACAGTATTTTCAATTTTGATATTTTTAGGTCAAACCGTTCTTGTCTGTTATTGAAAATATTGTGGAAACAAAGACACCTACATCTTGGATGTCCTTGAGGTAAGCTAAAACATATCAAAAATTAATTTCAAAGTGAAATATCCCTTTAAAGTTAATCTTTACAAAAATGATTGAAGGAAAAGTTCACCTGAAAATGAAAATGATTCCATAATTTACTCCCCCTCAAGCCATCCTATGTGCATTTGACTTTCTTCTTTCAGCCAAAGACAATCAGAGTTATATATTTTTTTTAAAATCCTGGCTCTTCCCAGCTTTGTAAGAGCATTGAATAGTGTTCCAGTTTTTGAAACTCCTAATAAAAGTACTCCAGTGGGTTAATAAAGGCCTTTTGAAGTGAAGCAATGTCTTTTTTTTTTTTTAAAGAAAAATATCCATATTTAAAACTTCCGGCAATGGCCATATGCACGTTTAATGTAGGCGCAGTGTAAGCTTAGGTGAGAATTGATGAACGACAACGGTTGCGAATTAGAATTAGAAGTCCAAAACAAGAAGTTTTAAATAAAAATGTCGGAGGATTTGAATATAAGAAAAGATGAGCTACGACTCTAGAACTCGACTCTCTCGTGAACACACGTACGGCCCTTGCCCTAACAGTTTAAACTATTACGATTATAAACTAGTTATAAACTATTACGACCCTAATAGTTAGTAATATCAGATAATTACATTTAATTTAATAACAATGTTAAATGTAATCTTCAGCAACCTCAAAATTAACAACAATGATTTTTTTTATCCTGTACATTAAATTGTTGTGATGCCTAAATTCACTTTGAATTTTAATGTTTAGTATATATTTTTTAAATTATTTAGAACAAATACAACAGAATTTTAGCATTGGCCATCTGTTATTTACCATTCAATTATTTATAATTATTGGCTTCATATTAATTGAATTATTGGCCAGCATTTTAATATTGGTGCATATTATAATAATCCATCATTAGAATAATAACAATACAGTTGAGATTTTTTATAAGATGATGCTAAATAAAACCGTATAGCATACTAGATTTTTTTTGAATAATTAATTTTCATTGAATATTCATGGACGTCTTTCCAGCAGCAATCTGGAATCTGGAAAGCAATCTCTAAAATGAAATGCAGTGTAGTACCTTCTGATTATCTGGCACCAGCATCTTACGGGCCTTCTTTATCATGGGCTGAGGCTTCAGCTCCTCCTCTGTGAAGCGATGTCTGCGAGGGTCAAACGCCTCCTGACCTGGCACACTGGACAGGGCGAGGTCAGCGGGGTCAGGATCAAAGTTCACCATGACATCAGCCGCATTGGTGGGTGGCACCACCGGCGGAGGTGGGCATGACGGGCTCGGAGAAGGGTCAGGTGGTACAGTTTGAGCCCCTGTTGAGAAAGAGGGAAGCGTAAGGAAAAAAAATAGTCTCTCTCTTGACACCGGACAGATGAAAACACCACGCGTCTGGGCTAAAGGCAAAGAGGATTATGAACAATAGATCTGTATGTTCCCTGACCAGCTGCAGTGGCATGTTTTGACCACAAGGGTGCACCAAAAGCCAATGTGGACACTCGCCAATTTCAGCAGCTGGCAGGCAAGGTCGACAAGCCAACCTGCAGTTTCAATTCATGTTATAAACATCCAAAGAAACCTCATGAAACTGGCCCTGAAAACGCTCACATTTTGTTCACGGTCGTGATCGTTTAAATTCATTCGGCCTCGTTTTCCAGCGATGGCACTTTACGTTGCTTACTTCCCATGACATTCTTCCTCTTTTTAGATTGAAATATGCTTTTAGAGCAGCGATTAGAAGGCGAGCACTTGACGTTAATTATGATGCATTAGCTGTAATGACACCCACTGCTTTAAATCGTTCCTGAGCCATTTCTTACACAGAAATAATGTATTTTGGAGACACGCGTTTAATTACCAGGTAATTATGTGCATGTAACGTATGCACCTTTAATCATCTCGTGTAAATGTTGAAATAAGATCATTCTGTTTATTGCAACAACAGAACAATTCAGCTTCAGACTTAAAACAGCTCTTGAAAGCCCAATTTGCTCATGTAAACATAATCAAATTCTTTGTAATTTCATAATGAGCTTCTAAGCCCTGAGCAGGAGTCCTGCCAAAGATTTGTTTTTCATTCATTAAGACAACACACAAAGAACAACACAAAGTGATATAGGAAGACTGTTACATAAAGCCAGCTCCCCTCCCACCAAACCGACCACGTATTGTCCAGTTCCTGTACTAATCCTCGTCTATCTAAAATCTAGCGAGAGGGGAAAGAAGTGTTTTTTTTCCCATGGACATGCATACGACCAGCTGTCCTTTGGGCTTCTTCCTTTCTATGAGGGAGGAGACATAAACAAGAGACACAGCTGTGTGCACAATTCACATAGTGCAAGCTATACAAACACACAATGACATTCCATGTTTATATTGCCATACAAATGCAATCTATCAATCTATCTGTACATACACACAGCTGGAAAGGCGCTATATAAATAAAACGTATTATTATTATTATCGGTTTGAGACATCCACACGGCATTTGCATTTGCATACCTATGTGTAACTTAGAAAGCATTCTCTTTCTATTTCTCTCCTTCCCAAATCCGATCTTTCCCCTCAGTCTCTCTCTCCATTGCTTTCTGCATCGGCACGTGACAAGTCGACTGCACATGGCCTCAACGTGTGAGGGAGCGGGAGGGAGGGGGAGTCAGAGAGAGAGAGAGAGAGAGATTTAAAAGCATGCAATAGAAATTGCACCCACCATCTTCAGCGCTCTTTCATCTCTCTCTTTCTGTGCAGCGAATTCGAATGGATATTTTAGTTAATACAGTTGCACACTAATTTAACACTGTCGTTGTGCTCATAAGTGCAGTAACTAATGCATTACATTGCTAGTTAGGAATGATTTCTTTTGGTTTGGTTCTTCCCCAAATATTGCATGAGGTTTTTATATGCTCTGATGATTATTCTGTAAAGAATTTTTTCCACTCTACATGCACTAGTACACACACGCACACACAGCTGTGCCCTTAAAGCTTCAAAGCCTGCATTGCCCTTGGCATCAGAGGCCAATAGTTTCAGACATCCCATCATGCATCACTGCAGTCTATATGAATCGCTGAGACTGTCTTGCTCTAAATTGTCTAAGACTAAATTAACTGGTTATCATACAGACACACACTAAAAAAAATGCAATATGGCCACACAACTATTTAAAGGGATACTCCACTTTTTTTTGGAAATAGGCTCATTTTACAACTCCCCCAGAGTTAAACAGTTGAGTTTGACCGTTTTCGAATTGATTCAGCCGATTTTATGATATTTAAAAGAATATCAGTAACCAAACAGTTTCTGGTCTCATTGACTTCCATAGTATTTTTTTTTCCTACTATGGAAGTCAATGAGACCAGAAACTGTCTGGTTACTGATATTCTTTTAAATACCAGAAAATCGGCTGAATGGATTAGAAAACGGTAAAACTCAAACGTTTAACCCTGAGGGAGTTGTAAAATGAGCATATTTCCCAAAAAAGTGGAGTATCCCTTTAAGTCAGTTTAGCAAATGTTGGCCATTATGATTCCACACAAAATCTAATGAACATTCTTACCATGTAGACACTCCGGACCTCCCAGCAGTCCAGGGGCCTGCGGTACGTCCAGACCCAGTAAAGAGGATGATGAAGACGACGAAGAGAGGGAAGATATGGAGGAGGCGGAGGAAGAACAGGGTGGAGATGATGAAGGTGGGCACTGGGAGCTCTGACTGGGTACGGCCGACTGTGTGCTCTGAGAAGGGACCTGAGCGGCTGTACTGCAGGTGTTTCCCGACGGCATGCACCCCATCCCGTTCTCCGTCAAGAACTCCTCCAGGTCCATGTACTGCAGCTGGAACAGGCCGCCGTCGCACGGCAACGTACGCTCCCACAGCAACGGTCCGAGGAAGGCGGACTGGTTAGTGGAACGCAGGGTGCCGTTCCCACCGTTCATGCCCCCAGCTGGAGCCGACGAATCCTCTTCAGAGTCCAGAGGTTTGTCTTTATCTGAGTGGCAAAAAAGAACAATAACCTGTTGAGTTTATTTTTTTTTTTTGTTTATTTAATCATAAATAAATTAGCAAATATTTCACGGAAAGTAAAATTCCAAAATTACAACAGCAATGTGAATGTCCATGCTGTAAAATTAAAAAGAATCTGGATATAGTTACTCTAATTTACCATAGCATAGATAATAATAAATGCATAATTTATGTAAATTATTACCCTTTTTTTTAGGAATGGCTGATATGAGTACCAATTAAGTTATCAGCAGGAATTATAGATTTTTAAATTAATCATTACTATAATATGTATTAAAATGTTAAATTATCTTTTATTTTTATATTTTCTGTTTTCATTTTAAGTTTAGTCATTTTTTTTATTAAGCTTTATTTTTATATTTTTTTATTAGCAATTTTTAGGCAACATTTCTAAGTAAAAAAAGAAACTATTAATATAAGAAAAATTAAATAAGTTTTTTTAAAGTCAGCTTGCAAGCATACCAACACTTTTATTTTATTTTTTCTCTTTAAAAAAAAAAAAAATATATATATATATATATATATATATATATATATATATTATTGTACATGCTTATATCCCCTACAATAATACATTGATAACACTGTTAAATGTAATCATTAGCAAATCTCAAGAATCAAGATAAATAAATATCCATATTTCCCACTGTATATTATAATATAGTGTTGTCTAAATTCTCTAAAAATGCTGGGTTGTTTTAACCCAACTTTGGGTCAAATATGGACAAACCCAAATGTTGGGATAAAAATGTAATTAAAAAATGTAACCCAATGGCTGGCTTTCTCCATATTTTTTTACCCAAAGTTGGGTTAAAACAACCCAGCATTTTTTAGAGTGAAAAAGACAGATAGTGATTTATATACTTAGATAAAACCGTATACAATTTGCCATTTATCAGTTTAAACCATAACTGTAATGGACAAAATTTAATATTGGTGCATCCCTACACATTTCCACAAATAAACATGGCGCCCATGCACACAAGTCCATACAGTGTGCTTAATAAATAATCAAAACTCATGTGAGTATCCTTGAACTGCTGTACCACACAATGTACACGGCTGGAATGCCAGAGGCCAAGATGGAAGTCTCTCTCTCGCCTGTCGGCGCTCAGATGGAGAGATTGGTGTGTGTAGTTGTGTGTGTTGGAGGAGGAGGAGGAGGAGGAGGAGGGGGGTCTGGCTGGCAAATGAGAATGCAGCATGAGTGCTTCAGAGGAAAGCAGAGAGCTGTCAACTCCAACACTGGGGCGTTTGAAGATGGAGCTGGGGAATATGTGCTTGCTGCATAGTAATAGCAGGGGAAAAGCTGTGTTTTACTCTACAACACAGAGTCCTGACAAATGGGAAGTGGGGGAATGTTCAAGAGGGAAACTGTAATAAATGGAAAGAGAGGGAATAGGGATATCGTGGGGAGTTGGAGTTTTCAACAGTGCCAAACAAAGCACAGCATCATCACCACACTGGAATATTTACCAATATCAAACTCACATTTAGAGAAAAACAAATACATTTTAACAAGACAACGTGCACCATTTACTAAAAGTGTTGTCACAACCTTATATCGCTGATGTGGCATATATTATCCACAAGAGGGCGCATTTTTTAGCAAATAGTAACGTGCACTTCCGTATTAAGACCATCTCAATGCATTTTAGAATGGCATCCCTTTAATGGCAGGGAGCTTCAGAAATCCCTTTAAGAGAGGGGAGAGGCCCCTAATTTCTTTAATTTGTAGTGAACCCGTCAATTCGCATCAATTATCAACGATTTATTCATCCAGCTGAGGAAACGGCCAGGCTGAATGAAGAATACAAGATGTTTCCTGGTTGCACAGAACTGAGGTAGATCAGTCCAGAGCTTTGGAGGCTACAAAAGTTATATTGCTCCTCTCTATTTGTAATTTGACTACCCAAACATGATTTCTAAACAAAAATGATATTGTGGGTAACAGATTATTAGCAAAGACGCAATTTAAGAGACGAGCACTGTAAAAGCAATAGTGAGAGAGTCACCTTTCATCTCACAGCAGTCTTTCCCTCTCTGGTCCCCTTTAATAGGCAGTTGAAGAAGGGATTTCAGACTGGCCATGGAATTATTCAGGTGGCCATTGGTGGTGGTGCCTGCAGGGTTAGCAGGACCGAGCTGTGGACTGGTCCCTGCTGGACGGTCAGGTGGCAATAGCTGAGAAATTGGCCTGGACATTCCTCGGTGTAACACCTCGTCCAGGTTCAAGCAGTTGATAACTTTTCACTGGACAGTTGGGCTGGTTGACAATCAAATGTTTCAGTCAAAAGTAGAAAAGCTCTAAAAGCTGAGTTTGGCAGTTGAACGAACGCCTCGCGCCGTGTTTACAAGCGTTTAAAATTCGCATTCAAAGTCCGATTTCGTTCCCATTAGAAAACTGAAGTGAACTGACGTCCTGTAGGGTCCGCTCGACTGAGAAAGATGCAGGCGATCTACTTCATCCCCTTCAAACGCACTGTCTCCTTTGAAATTGTATTGTGATGTTTGTTTCGCGTTCAATGAACCTTCCGTAGGATCGCCGCTCATATGTTGACGTATGTCATCGCATTTGACTGGTGCTCCTCGCGTCCAGGACAGAAATATTCCCCGAAAAACCGAATGAGTTGGATTAAACGGGCGTCCATGGAGGCAGAGATAAAAGTCAATCTCACACAGTCTGAAGGAAACTGCGAGTAAACTATAATAACAGACTGAAACGAAACGAGAGTGCTGGAAAAACTCCGTGTGCAAATAAAAAGATGGTTCCCCTCTTCAGAATATAATAAACAATTAAACGTGAGCTATGACGGTTTAGACTGATGGCTGTTATTATTCCTCTGCCCTCTTTGTTGCTCTCTCTCTCTCTCTCTCTCTCTTTCTCAGTATTTTTGTAGCTAACCTCCGCAACCTCTCTCTTTCTTTCTTCGGACACTCGGTAGAGCGAGCGCTCGGTATCGTAGCAAGAGTTAGCTGGAACGTACACGGGCAGCGAGCGCTCGTGACATCACCTCTCACGGGGGAATGGCACTGAGGGGCGGGGTATTCATTATTCATTATACACACCTCCTCGCCTTAACGCCCATAATATGATAACAAGCCGTTCTGGCCAATAGGATGCGTCCTGGTTTACATATTAATATCAGTCCACCACTGTTTTTTGTTTTTTTCACGAACCTCTTCTGTGCCGTTACATTTTCATAGATCGAACTAATTTGAACGGGAGGCAACACAAATCCAAGCAGATGGACAAATGACAAGGCTCGATACATGTACGGGTCAATCACTCAATTTAAAGGACATTTAACATTTAAAGGACTTTATTTGTAAATTGAATTGACATTGTTATTTATTGAAAATGTGTATTCGAATTTATTATTAATTCGTAAAAAAAAAAAAAAGCGGCATGTCATTATACGCTACAAAATTGCATTAACTAGTAAGGGCTGCAGTGAACATTGCAGAAGCTATGTTGCTTGTGAGATATTGCTGTCGTGCGAAAGTAAACGGACATGGAAAAATCAAAAGAAGTTGGGACATAAAAGACAGCAACTATTTTAATTGTATTTATAGTCCATCCAAATTCAAACTATGACTCTTAGAGCGCTGCTATTTCGAAACATCGTCATTGTCATTCATTCTGTCATTTGTTTCAAGTTGCATTGGCCATAATAATCCAAAAACGTGAGCACGTCGGTTTGGCCGACACAAATGTATTTCCACAGTACCTTAAGGCCAGCACTAGACCTCGTAGCGAGCACATGGCTCAGGCACGCGCGATCGCTGCCTACCGGCGGCCTCTCCTTCACGCGATTGGCTTAAAGTAGGTCAGTATCTGCCCTTCGCGGGATCCAATTGGACAAAACTAGGTCAGTCGCTCCTCCCAGAGTTTTCCCCATGCTAGTGCCGCGTGAGATGAGTGTACAACAACATGCAAAGACGAATTGGCGAGATCTTTGTGGATTAGAGCCGGCAACTCTTGTCAGAAGCAGAGATCAAATGGAATCTGACTTTGCGCGTTTAAAAATGAAAACAAATTCGAAGGAGGTTCCATCCACAGGGATTGTCATGCATACTAATAGAAGTTTTTTTGTCTACATAATTGATAGGGTTATTATGCACCATTTAAAGGGAGAAATTGCGATTATGCACTTTTGAAATAAAATTAAAACATCAGATTTTTAAACTGTGTGCAGAGAAGAGGAAGAAGCAATGCATTATAAAGAACTTTTTGTGTGTATATGAATGAAACCAATTTGAACTAATGGAAATAACCTTAGATGAACCAATTTAACAATATTTGACTGATTGTTCAACTGCATAATAAACATGCTTGTTACTTAAAGGAGTAGTTCACTTAAAAAAAAAAAAAGCTTTTGCTGATAATTTACTCACCCCCATGTCATCCAAGATATCCATGTCATTCTTTCTTCAGTCGAAAAGAAATTAAGGTTTTTGATGAAAACATTCCAGAATTTTTCTCCACATAATGGACTTCAATGGGAACCAAACGGTTCAAGGTCCAAAAGACGTGATGCACATTCGTTACTCTCCTGTTCGAAACTCGTTTATCAAATTGAACGAATCTTTTTTTCGTATCATTTGGTTCATTCAACGAACGAAATGATAGTTTACTTGGGAAAAGATTTGTTCATTTTGATGAACGAGTTCAAATAGGAGAGTCCCGAACGTGCATCACAGAACAGAGCAAGGCGACCATTTGATCTTATAAAACCTAAATTTTGTTATTATTTTTTTTTTTAAATGAGCGATCATTTCGCTTGATAAGACCCTTATTCATCATCTGGAATCGTTTAATGCCCTTTGAACAGTTGCACTGAAACTGTCATTTGGACCTTGAACCGTTTGGTTCCCATTGAAGTCCATTATATGGAGAAAAATCCTGGAATGTTTTCATCAAAAACCTTAATTTCTTTTCGACTGAAGAAAGAATGACATGGATATCTTGGATGACATGGGGGTGAGTAAATTATCAGCAAAAGCTTTTTTTTAAAAATGAACTACTCCTTTAAATGACAAATATGGATGGATCACATACCTTTTGACAAGTGAATTTCCATGGCTTTAAAGCCTTTCTTTATTTAGGATTCACATGATCATGGAAAACAGAAATATCAGAGAATTCTGAAATTGTGATTTTTAGTCCTGGTAAAGTCAACCTAAAACCGTTTATAAAGCTTGGCAAAGTCTGTAATGTATATACATTTTTCCTAGTTATACTCGGCTCAAAATGTCACTGGCTAGAAATTACCCCTCATGAGTAAATGTTAAAAGGTCCTTATTCCTTATTTATTTTAAAATGTCCCTATTTAAAAGGTCCAGAACACATTATCAGTGTTTCTGATTCAGTTATCACACTGAAAATGTTACGAAATTATTTTTTAAAAATATATATATTGGGGTGGAATTCTATTTATATGGCATTGGCATGTACCAATATTTTGAATTAAGTGATTTAAATTATTCCACTTACTGCTCTGCGTGTAGACTTTTTCACGTTGTCTTACAAGGAAGTTTAACTTCATTCAAGCGTTCACAAGGACCTAAATGGTAAAAAACTGAGCAGAGCAAAAAAAAGAAAACAACTTTTAAATAGATATATTTTCAGGGCAGTAAATCACAGATTTTCCTGAAAATTTAGATAAATCCAGGTTTCTGTATGAAAACTATGGATTTTCACTTTAAAGCAGAAAAGTTCTAAAACAAAACATGAGACTGTTACAGTGAATTTAAATCAGAAAATTCCTAATATTTACAAAGTAAGTAATGTAACAACAGAAGTTGAAACAATTGAACAATACGCATAGTCCTGGCAGGAAGAAAAAAAAACAATCACTGGTATTGTGCATGGTGTGTTCGACAGTCTGCACTGTACAAGCCTTGTGAGGCCAATCAAGTTGATTTGATTTCTGAGGCCACAGCCACACAGAGAACATTACTGCCACCTAGAGTACATCATTTGCAACTTGCAGTTTCATGTTAATTTCCATTAGGCCATGTGAGATGATGTCCTGTATTGAACTCATTAAACTTTTGCTTGGAGACACTGAGAGAAAGATAAGTGAACAGACGGTTGTGTTCCTCTGACACACCAAATCAAAGTACCCTTAAAGGCATTCTTCCCCCCAACACTAATAGTGTGTAGCACTGCATAGGGCATGTGCCAACACATGTGAGCTGTAAACAGCAAAACAGCACCATCCCACTGAACACAGCGCCATGGCACCAGATGCGTAACACCTGGTTGTATCCTTTCTTTTGATGTTTATAAATCATTTAACCTACATGCCATAAATAACCAAATAATCCAATCTGCTCACCGCCACAAAGAGGAAGAGCTCTGCTTCCCATAAACATTCAAAAGGAAATACAACGTAGTCGAACAAAAACTGTACATTTCCTATCTTTTTATTTGCTTTCTGAGAAACTCAACATATCTGTTGACTCAGAAAAAGAAAACAGTTGTTTAGTATTTATATTTTGTACTTTAGTTTACTGAGGAAAACATTGGGACAGTAGAGCTAAGTAAAAGTATTGAGAATGAATACAATAGTGTTGGGTAAGCCGGGCTAAACTGTGGTTTGGGTTAAACAGATCAAAGGGGCAGGGAACGAAAAAAAAAAAAAAAAAAAAAAAGAATTCACACCGACACATATATTCCCCACATCTTACAATGACAGGCCCTGCCACATACCCACCCACCCCTAAAATAGTAAAAATGATTAAAAAAAACATATATTTTGAATAATAAAAAAGAAAAACTGTTACATAATAAAATATAATACGCATTGTACAGTACAGATTGGCTATTCCTCTCACCCCCAAGCCAATCTCGCAACCAAAGACATTAACACTTGCCATAGAAACACCTGCAAAGGTTTCTTTACATATTTCTTTAAAAACAAAACAAAAGAACAGATGACATTAAACACAGGAACATGGCATTAACAACACCATTCTGTCCCCTTCTCATCGACTCTGTAGAATATTTTGCACATTTTGACAGAGTCCTCTTTGAGACACTGTTGAATTCAACCTGGAGTGTCATATAATTGAGGTTGTTCATAGGGAATACACACATTATGTACTTGATCCTCTTCCCAAAACCAGTAACTTTCAGTTGCAGGTCAAACATTTGCATTTTAACATGAAGACAGCGAAAGGTGGAAAACAAAACGCAACACCACAATGAACAAAAAAGCTACGTATATTTGAGCGTAAACAAGGGCTATACCGTTAAGCTCAGAGTACTGGGGGGAAACTAGTTTAAAGAATAGATTGTTACTGTTCAAATTAGTTCACTTTCACTGGTATGCATCCATCATTGCAGCACAAATAAAGTTACGAAAATACATAATGAATGCATTTTTAGAGGATAGAGATGCTACCATTACAACAAAGGTGCTACCAAAAACAGTTCCATAATCTAGAATATTCTTCCCCTTTGGAGAAACCGTGTTAGAGATCCATGTCTGTAATGGATGGTTCTTTAGGTACAGGCTTGTTTTCACAACAACTGAGTCTTTTATTTTTAAGAGGCACTCCCTTGGTTATAGTCTGACCACGTTTAAGGAGTCGAATGTGTGGCAATTTCCATGAAAATCCTCTATGCCTATTTCCATGTTATCCCTGTACTTTTTTTTTTTTTAGATGTCAGTTTACTTAGTGCCTGTACCCTGTCACAACTGTTGATCTTTCAATCTGGTCCTCTGTCTTTATTGACATTCTGATTCCTCTACTGACACGCCGACAAGCAAATTTGTGGCGCTGCAGGAGGCTTCCGTTCCAGAATCTAGAGGGACATCGAGAGCAAGAGAACACCCCTTGAGAGAGGTGGTGGGCCCGATGACGGAGAGCTGTCAGTAGCCTTCGAGAACGTTTCCCACAGACTATGCAGCGCAGGCGAGTCTGGACGGCCATGTTTTCTTGGTGGATGCCTGGTTACACGGTGCACTGAAAGAATTATGTGGCTTGAAAAAGTGGTAAAGGGACAGACAGGGCAAGAATATGACTTTAAGGGGACGATGAGAGACCGGAGGCCTCTAAACCTTAACCGCCCTGCACGCCATGTGCTTCCACCTACATTTAAACCAAGCCCTCCTCCAGTAAACTTGGCCCATTTCAGCTGAGCTATCCACTTCTTTCGCTTTAGCTGCTGCTGAAGCCTGCACTTCTTTCGTTTTAAATACAAACGCCTCCTAGCAATTTCATAAGCACTGAATCCAGTCATCAACTGCATGCTACTAGCCAGTTTATATTTTTTCTTTCTTTTTTTTTTCTTCCTTTGTGTGGTATCTCCCTGGGCCTGAGGGCTTTGCTGTAGATGTGGAGACTGCATTGAGAAAGGGTGCTGCTGTTGCTGGTGGTGATGAGAGTGCTGGGGTGGCGAAATGTGGATATGAGGTGGAGTGGAATGAAGGGTGTTACCTGGTAACCCTGAATAAATTAGCTGTTTCCCGCTGATTGGCTGTTGAAGCTGGAGGGGACCCATAGTGGGGTTTGAGTAGTGCAGATGTTGGGGGTGTGAGTTGACATTTGAACTGTGATGTCCTGACTCTGGAGTGTAAAAGAGAGGAGAATAACCAGCAGGCTGAGGGTGCTGTGTGTGAGCGATGGTTGAATGGGGCTGTTGTACTCCATGACTTCCACTTTCAGGTGTTATATGAAGGAGTGCATTGGTTGCAGCCTCACTCTCAGAAACAGATGGGGCAGTTCCAATAGATTCACTTCCTGTTGGTTGTGTTGTTGGCCCAGTACGAGTCAAACCGTGTTGAGATAATCTATGTCTGGTCAGGCTGTTGGAGTAAGAAAATGCCTTCCCGCACACTTCACATGAAAACAGTTTCTCCCCACCATGTTCATGAATGGCTTGGTGATGGGCAGTTAGGTGGAAGTGATGGCGGAAGGATTTCCAGCAAATCTCACATGTATATAGTTTAGGAGGGGGTTGGTTGCTTGTGTTAGCATTGGATCCTTGAACTTTATCCTGAGAATAGGAGTAATAAGCGCCAGGGTTGGTTTGATTAGTTTGATTGGTTTGATCAGATTGGTCTTGATTAGCAGGCCCCCCTTGATTTGCAGCAGATTTGGTTTTACTTCGCCTCGGCTTGAAATCTCCCGTAGATGCAGTTTTTCATGCCTTTTTAGACTCTGTGCATATCCAAAATCTTTTCCACAAAGGGTACATTTGTAGTTCTTCTCCCCCGAGTGAACAGTCTGATGTTTGGTAAGATGAAACGGCTCTCGGAAGTCTTTACCACAGATGTCACAATGAAATGGCTTTTCCCCTGTATGCACACGTTCGTGCCGACGCAAGGTCTCACGTCTACTAAAGCCCCGTCCACAAACAGTGCATAAATAAGGCCTTTCAGAACCATCTCCAGCAGCACCGCTCTGATTGCTTCTCCGACGTTTTACTCCTTCTCCTGGAGCCCCACCAGGTCTCGGCTCTCTTTTCTGCCTGGGCTTCCGTGGCCTCTTGGGTTTGGCATTAGGATTGTTGGCATTCTGTGAGTTAGGTTGCTGTTGGGTAGGGTGAGATAAAGGTATCATTGAACCACTCAGGCATTCTTCGTTCCCACCATTTCCTGTAGATGTAGACGAAGAGGCACCCATAGACCCGAAGCCAAGCCCTCCCAACAGACCTCCAATAATGTCTCTCCGTTCCTCTCGTCCCCCAGTACTATTCATTTCAGCAGGCAAAACAGAGGCGGCAGCAGCTGCAGCAATGGCAGACATGGCACTACTGGTGACTTCATCTTCAGAGTCATCCAAAAGAGAGGAGAGAGGAAGATGAGATTGCTGTTGGTGATGGTGCTGCTGATTTTGAGGGTGTGGATGAAGTGTTGGGGCTAAAGGAGCTTTTCTGAGCGCCGGACTTGACATACTGTTGCTACAGGAGTCTCCAGAGTAGGATGATGGGTTGCCCTGTTGACGGCGGTAGTCATCAACCCTGTATGACGTTTGGTAAGGATCTCTTGAATACTCAGGGTTATACTTTTCTTCAGTTTTGCCCACAGGATTTTGATTAGCACTTCTTCCTTGTGAATACAGACTGTCACAAGACATCCCTGCTGTGCTGTCCTCATTCTTGCAAAATACTAATTCTTTCGAGTCAGTCATTTGTCCACCAGAAAAATCACTTTCAACTTTGCCCTCTACTGAACCTATTGAGCTACCATCACTGCTTCTAGACCTCCTCCCTGGCTTGCCACAGTCACCTGATGCAGCGTGGTTAAGCAAAGAAGTACTCTCTCTAAAGCAACGGCCACAAGCAGGGCAGCGGTAGGGCTTCTCTTCGTGAATTTTCTCATGCCGAGTGAGAGACTCTCTGCGGTTGAACGAACGCTCACAAACAGAGCAGGCATATGGACGAGCTCCAGAATGGATAATGCCATGTTGAAGCAGGTGTCCTCTCTTCTTGAACCCCTTTCCACATTCATTGCAACAGTATGACTTATCTGGACTTGAGCAAGCGGAAGACATGGGGTCTGGATTTTCATGCTGGTGGTGAGCATTTTGAGAAATTCCATCTTGTGTTGAGTGGGGGAGATCTGACTGATGCTGATGGCTCGGGTTTGTGCTGCTGTTGGGACGACTGCCATCTTCTTCATGGCAGCGTATGTGTCGACGAAGGCTTGGGAGGTGGTTAAAAGACTTGCCGCACTCTCCACAATGAAAGAGAGGTTCTTGCTCAGGCTGTGCGATATTGGGAGTCATTGATTGCTGATTTTCAGTTTTGGGGTTTTGAGAGATATTTGATACCAGCACAGAAGCAGAGTTTGAAGATGGGGCAGAGGAAGAAGAGGAGGAGACAGTTGAAGAAGAGGAGGATGGTGTTGATGAGGAGAGGATGGAGGAGGGGTCACCACCAAGACCCCTCATTCCAACCCCTCCACCTCCTCCCACAAGACCAGAGGACCCATCATGACCATGTGCCCCAGAGCTGCCATGACAGTTAGCACTGCTGGTACTGCTGCTACTGTTACCTTCTGCCTTCCTCTGGGGCAGGTAGCCAGCCATGGCTTTCTTTCTCCTGCTGCCACTACCTCCACTTCCTCCAGCCCCAGATCCACTATCTCCTTTGCCATCATCTTTTGGTAAGGAGAGATGGAGTGGGAGTGGCAAAGGCAGGCCTGCTTCTTGTTGCATTAGGGAAGCCAGTTGATTAGACGAAAGAACAGGAATACCTTGGAAATCAAAACCACCAAGTGGTGATGGTTGGGGGGCAGGGTGTAGAGGGTGGTGTGGATGGGCATGGCTGTGAGGGTGGGACAACGCATGAGGTGGCAGCTGCTGCTGCTGTTGTTGGGGCTGGGGAGTTGGATGGCCATGGGTGTGGGAAGGATGAAGGGCGGGAGGAGGAGCAAGACCTGTATTCGAATCTGCAAGACCTAGATGATTATGGGGACCCTGCTGAACTAGAAACTGTTCCAAACTGGCATTTGTGGGCACTCCAGAAAACAGGTATTGGTTTGCAGCGAGCATGCAGCTGAACTGCTGGTGTAAACTTCTTGCATCAGACTGGGCTCCGACTAATCCAGCCACTGAGCTGCTACTGCTGGGTGGATTATTAGAAGTGGTGGTTGAACTCGAAGGGGAGGGGGATGACGAGGATGGTCCAGGAGATGGCTGAGGAACGGAGAGACCAGGGTGCAAGGGGGGTGGTGGTGGCGCAGATGTTACAACTCCTCCTGTACTTCCTCCAGAAAAATCAAAACGTCCCATTCCTGAGTGAAGCTGCTCCTGGGCTAGCGCAGCCTCAGCAGGGTGAAATGTGCGAAGAAACTGTGGATAGCCAGAGGCAGAACTGCCACTCCCACTGCCGCTGCTCATCTTGCTTGATTTGCGTGTGCTTTGTGATGATGTGGACTGAGTTTGTTGTGGAAGAGGTGGAGGGGGCGCACTCATTTTGGCAAATAATGATGAAGAATCTGCAAATGCATTACTTCTAGATCCTTGAAGGGAACCAAGTCCAAGGCCAGACAGGAGGCCACCAGATGCCTCACTTTGTTGTTGCTGCTGCTGTTGAAGCTGCTGCTGGTGCTGAAGTTGGACCTGTTGTTGGTGCTGAAGTTGTCTTTCCAGCCCCAGTCCTTTGAACTGGTGAGCCTGGTGTCCACTAAGCATTTCTAAAATGTCCATAGGGTACTTTCCAAACTGAAACATCTCCCCCTCACTGTTGAGGGGCGTTTTTAGGATTTTTAATCCCTGTTCACCTGGTACTGCAGCAAAGTAATCTAACCTAAAAGACACTAGGGCCACTAACAATCAATATAAAGTTTTAAAGTAATCTGCTAGCAGCTCCAGTTTTTAGAAAGCAATGTCTTTGTGGGAGTAATTTGATGTTGTGACTGTCCATCCCAAACAAACAGAGTTTTGACTATACGTGAGAAAAGTCTGGAAGTCTTGGATTAAATAATAATCTATAAATAAGAAAAAAGTTGGTTTACAATATCATGCAATAATCACGTCTGCGTTGGTCTTCCAAATTACTATTTCTACAGTTAAAACAGTAAAAACATGTCTAATACTACCATATGAAATATGTTTTTACAAAATGTGTTTATCACTAAAAAGCAAATCCTTTAGTGTTGAAAGCCATTTAAAACAGAAGCGATGAGGGAATGTCTGTCTGCCTTGCTATTTGTGTATTCCTTTGACAAGTTCTGAATAAAATTGTTCCACTTTGTGACTTCTCAGAAATGTCCTCATTTAAAGAGAAAACTGTGGTGAGCAACTTTCAATCATCCAAGTCGGGAGTTAAAAGGTAGAATGTTAGATAGTCCACAGAGTCTATTCAACCTTTGTCTTTAACACCTCAGCTGGAAGACCACAAACACAGCACAGTGGTATGACCAAGTAGTTCTTCTCCTTTCTTCTGTGGGCACCCTGTTAGTCCTTAAAAAAAAAAGAGAGAGAGAGATCAAAATTAGTAAGGCTTTCAATCAAAGGATCTAAATTTCAAAACAAAAGGTGGTACAATCAAGACATGGGAAGCAATGACTCACAAAGCTAAGGCACAGCATAACCTTAAACCAAAAAGTTTTGGTTTACAGCAAGTTATTTTTTACAGCATTAGCCTAACCCAACGTTAATTTAGTACTTTTGAACAGTAATATTTAACTTTAATAATTACTTTTGCATAGAGGACCTGCGGTGATGAAATTTCAATTCAGAGTGATAGACTTGAGTGTCAATTTTAAAGGGGTGGTGATGGCGCAGTGGATAAGACACATGCCTTTGGTGTGAGAGACCCGGGTTCAAATCCACTGTGAGACACAAATGTGTCCCTGGGCAAGACACTTAACCCCTAGTTGCTCCAGAGGCGTGCGACCTCTGACCTATATAGCAATTGTAAGTCGCTTTGGATAAAGGCATCAGCTAAATGAATACATGTAAATGTAAATCCTTATATCAAAGTAAAAAGAAAGCATAAATTTAACACTTTTGCAAGTTAATAAATAAATAAATAACGTCATGTAAGTTAACTTTAGACACTTGTCTTTTAATATTGCAATGGCTGTTAAAAATGCCCAATTTACCTGATTTTATTTGAATAAATAAACAAATGATCAAATAGAGTAATTTCAGGTAAACTAGAATACCTTTCGACATCGAGATCACTTCCAAAAAGTAGGGACATGAGATTTATTGGCCAATGTATCAGCATCGGCCAAATATGTTAATTTTATGATGTTATCGACTCAATCATAAAATCTGAATTGATATATTAAAGATATTAAAGCCGATAAATAATGGATATTTTCCTTCAACCGAGACACTTCAGATGCTCACTGTTCGCCATGATTCTGCTTTGCTTGAATTATGACTGGAATCACTTGAAAAGGAAAATACAGTTGAGAGCAACATGTGCAGCTTAAGTCTGTCTCATAGGCTAGGCTACATAAAATTATAACGCAAAACACTACAGTAAAAGAATGTTGTGAACTCTTTGTACGCAGGTTTTAGAGCGTTGTTACGGGAAGAGCGCATCCACAATGTAGTTACACCTTCATGACTAAGTTCCCTTGAGCATTTGCAGCCTTTTGTGCAATTTTAAGTTAAAATTGTGTTTATTTTGTTTATAAATATTGGATTTATCTCAAATAGAGATGTGTTTGGTTAAGAATTAACGTGGTAGTAAAGCGCCGTTGATAATATTTAACTTCAGAGTATGCAACTCAATGAACAACATTAATAATAACATAGGTCCCCACAATTTCTGCAATTTGGAAAACGTGGACAAAATCAAAGAATTCAGTGATAAAAATTCTGTATAATACGGAATCACGGAATTTGTCTAAGCTTGTCAGTAAACTTAAATCAAACCGCTTAAATCAAATCCTGCATTCTGTGTCTCTTAGTGAATGAATGGTGCAGATGTGCAGTTTCATCTAATACACATATACACTCACGGTGTTTTCAGTCTGCCTTAAAAATATGAACTTCATGAGCATTTTACCATTTAATTTGAGAAAAACTATAATCATATCATAAACATGCAGAAACTTTAAGGTCATCACGGCAACTCACAAAACAGAATTCCCAGTTTAACTTGAAATTTTTTACATACTATATTACTACAATACAGTACAATGTCTTATATATCGTAATGTAGTAGTAATAATAAATTATTATTAATACTTTACTTTAAGGAATAATACATTTTTCTTCCATGTTTTTATTTGAACAGTAAACCTCTGTTGTGCAGCACTTTGTTTGAAAAAAAAAGGTTTAATTTTAATTTGAGATCTCATAGGACCCTATAATGTAAACAAACAAATAAATAAATAAATGTTGTTTTTATGAATTTAACTGATTAGACATGCTTCTTTATTAGAATGTTATTAAACCATGACAATGGAATCCATAAAAAAATTAAATTGAAAACAGAGTTTTGTAAAAAAAAAAAAAAAAAAAAAAAAAAAAAACGGATTTTGAGATAAAATAAAATAGATTTCATAGGGCACTAATTCTTTTTTGCTTTGGGTTAATAATTTAAGCATTAAAATTGAGTTCAGAAAAATTTTAATGGAGAAAAAGACAGAATTTAGAAAAAACCTAAATGGATTTCAAAGGGCCCTATAATCAACTTTCCTAATTAAGCTTAGATTGCATCAACCGTATCTTTTGTGATTAATAATATCATTATAGGTAAAAATGAATATATAGTTGCAGTTATTATTTATTGGTAAATTAACGAAAGGATTAATGAAAATGAAAAAAATGGATAGATTACCATGAGGGAAAATTTATTGTTAGATTTTTGGATTAATCGATTAAAAGAAAAGCAATAATCGTTAGTTCCAGCCCTAATAATAATACTGACCAAACCATAATGCTTGCTGTCTGAGGGCTAAGCCAAATTACACGTTACCAGTTTAAAATCAGTATAAGGATATCAGGTGCATTTAGGCCTGCGAAGAACTGTGCATCATGTTGTCAAATATGCATGCTTTAAGATAAAATCTAAAATTATTCTAAGCAACTTTATATTCATTTATTTAATTACTATTCATGACTTAACCGGATTAAGAACCAGGCAAGTAAACGGTTCACATTCACACACTCCAATCATATTAATATCTATCAAAATCAAGTCCTTATATGTCAAAACTGAGCTGAAACTATTTGACCACGGGTTGTTTTATTCAATGTATTAAAAAAAAAAAAATCACACAGATTAACACTTGTACAGCACCTTTTCAATAGACAAACAAACTAATTGCTGACAAAAGTGACCGAATTTGTCTACATTTACCTTGAATAATATTTTTTTTGTGTGTGTATTTTTTAAAGACAGCTAGACAAATACATACTGTAACACTTTACAATAAGGTCTGATTTGTTAACATTAGTTAATGTGTCAACTAACAATGAGCACATTAGTTAAAGTGATTATCTTTGTTAATGTTAACCAATACAGCTTTTGATTTTATTAATGTATTAGTAAATGTTGAAATTAATATTGATTGAATTGACATGAAGTAAGAATTATTTCTTAGTTCTAGTTAACTAATAAAACCTTATTGTAAAGCGTTACCGGCGTAAATACTTAAATAACGTTAACGTTATAACCACACCAGTCAAAACGTTCATCCACACAATCCGATACAAACGGCCTTTACAATCAAATTCTGATATCTGCACAAATTAAATCCCCAAAACTGTCAAAATCAAGTCCTTTATACCTGTCTAAGTAAATTACATGCAACTAAAACACTGATGTAAACAAAAATAACTCTTAACCAGAAAACGCATGTGGAGAAAACAATACGTTACTCGGATACACTGAGAGTGAAACCTGTGCTCAGCAAAGAAAATCAAATGACGACACCATGTCAACATCATCATTGACAAAATCTGCATGCGGTTACAATTAAACTCCAGTGTAGGATTTAAATTAAACTTACCAAAGCCTCTGCAGGTTGAAAGAAAAGCGCTGATCCGGGATGTTTGTGTTGACTGTGAAGGGGATGAGGGAGAGGGGAGAGCCGAATTCCCCTTTTCAATCACATCCCTCTATGGCAGAACAAAAAGTTTCAAAATAAAAATTAGAGCAAAATCAGACATGTTAAATTCACAAACAATTTAGCGTTATCATGCACGAATTTAGCATAAATATCCGTATGCTACTCGTTGCGTAGGTGCCAACTACATGACAGAAAAACGAAAACATAAACAAGAAAGTGACTGTGAGTGCAGACAGCCCGTCATATGAATTCAGGCTATAAGCCCACTTCACTCTGCTAGCCTCTTAGCTAGCTAAATAAAGACGTCGTACCCTTTTACATCGCAACAGAATGCATTCAAAAGCTTTGTTATCACACCTGCTCGTGAACGGAGAAAGTCCTCTTGAAGAGCAAAGCGTGAAAATAATAATGCTAAAAAGGGCGCCGAAAGCGTAGATGTGCACAAAGGCGGTATCCGATTTCAGGTTAGCAGGTCATTTTTCCCCATCCCGTGGAAAAACACTCTCGCAGGCCTCTCCATCGCTTTCGATCCGTTAAACAAACCCCAATTTCCGCTGGCTGCGCTCGCTAACGTTCATCCTCACGCGATATCATTTTCGTCGTAGAATTTCGACCGAAACTGCTCTTCCCGTCCGTTTTCCGCTTAATTTTTTTTGCGGATTATGGTCGGCCAAATATTTTCCGCCCCGTGTCAATTTTTAGTGCCCCCGTCTTCCTTCGGGTACTTCTGTTCGCCTCACAGTGGTCGTTTCCGGGCAGTGATATAAGTTCCGGGTGGTGTTACATGTTAAAACGTCCGACATTGTCCTGCTTAGCACACTGAAACCAGTAATGTTAGTGGGGTCAAAGAAAGGTTTTTTTTTCATTCACAGGTTCATTCTATTATGTATTTGAGCTAGGATGACAGTGTGATGGCGTGTAATTTTAGCAAAACACTCTTAATGGTGTAATGTTTGTGGCATTCGTAGTCCCGTCATGTTATTAACGGTTTAGGAATACAGTGCCAAAAGAACAACAATAAATGGCGCGTTCTAAATATGTTACTTCTGTGACGTAGAAACACACTGTCAAAGCACACACTTCACGAGGTGCCGCGCGAGACTTAAAAACATCACATTTCATCTGCTATCTCTCGCGAGCTGCGCTCACTGATACAAAATAGCCAGTCAGAACAGCTGTTCCACACATATGCGAGCCAAAGTAATTAGAACAATTATTTCACCTTGAGAGGGCGAGCGGAGCACTTTAGACTGCACATATATTTTAGAAAGGATTGCCGTGCACAGCACCTCTCTGAAGCCATTTTACCAACATGCCGCCGCCGCCGTCTCCCCCCCCTCGCCACCCTACCAGAACATAAGGTCCTCGCCCACCCTGCCCCTCAAAATGGCGAATTCCGGTGATGGCTCGTCTGTCTCCCTTAGGAACCATTTAAGAACCTGAAACGTCCCATTTTAGATTATATCATTCTTTATATATATATATATATATATATAAAGAAAATGAAAATAATAATGAATGCAGGATAATGGTAAGTTGTAGAGATTTATGGGAATGTAAATGTGGGGAAACAATTTCTTAGATTACATCAGCAATTACATTAATATTATTATTAATTAATTCTCTTATTTTTCATTGTTAATCTAAAGCATTCTACACTAGTCAAAAGTAGATAAGCAAGTTGCATCCACTGGTTGTTTTGCCAATGTAAAAAGACAATTAGACATTAATACAAGAGTGGCTAAAAATACTCAGCACACATTATATATTGAGATTTAAAAACATATACTTGTAAAAACCAACCAACATATTTCATTATTCATGAGAAAAAAAGAACACGTGTCAATCTCCAGAAAACAACTTCTTTCTTAATGGCGAGAATTTTATTTAAAAAATAAAAATGAAAGTTTTTGCTGTAGATATTTTATGCATGGCATTGTGGCATTTCCCCCCATAAAATTTACAACAAGGTTTATGTATTCCATGGCAAGAAAAATATCTAAAAGAAGAAGAAAAGAAAAGAAATAATACTGGGAAAAAAACTTGTGGTTGTTTATTCTATTTTTCATAACTTTGGTGAATGCAGCAATTTTTTTTTAATGATTTGTTTATTTTTTGCATTCAAAGAGACACTCACTTAAAAAATAAAATTATATTTTGGGTTTTCTGAAATGCACATTCTCTGATTTCACACAAAGCAAAAGTCAGATAAAATGCGAGATAAAGCATTCCAAAATAGACACTGAAATACACAAAAGCACACAAATACAGACGCACAAACTGGACACATACACACCTTGACATCAGAAGTCAGCAATATGACATCATCAACACTGGCTTTGACATCTTCATGCGTTTTGTCTTTTCACTATGATTGCATCTGCTTTTTTGTTGAGTTACAAAGGTTAGAATCCACAATAAACTCAAATATAAACAGAAAACAGGAATAAAAACAATTTCTAAAGTCACAGAAAAAAAAATCAAACAAAACAATGATAATAATCAATAATATGAATAATATCGATGATTATATATATTTATATATATATATGCACGTAAATTGGCATGTGTACATATTTGAACATTCGGGATTCAATTCAATTTTTTTTTTTCCTTTTCAACATATTTAACTTCAGTTTTATTAACAAGTTAATAAAAGCTTAAACATTGCAGAGTGGTCTAAAATACTATATTATGGCCCAATAATCTTGCTCAGCCAGGTCGTTCTCAGACATTCCACCACAACAGTGTCCATTTGATGTGGAGACAGCTGAAAAACACACAGAAATCGCTAACAAAAAGACATTTTACTTGAATATAATATAGATAAACAAGACAGCTTTTACTCCTAAATCCTAACTCATCGGTTAGATAATAATGCATCTTAGTGTGACACAGAGTGTTGAATTAGCTTTGCAGATTTTGTTCTATTTTTCTGTTTTGTACACTCATTGGCATGTAGCCTCAATGTTCCGCACAGCCGTGCCACTGGAAAGATAAAAAGCTGTAAGAGCACGGAAGCACAGACACACATGAAGAAGTTTCAGAATAGCCCTTGGATTAAATTGTCCATTGTATAACTAAACCCTTTCCCCTGTCCCCCTCAATACAACAGCTTGAGTTGCAAATTAAGTGTGAAGACTATGCGGTCTTGTTTGACATACTGCATGCCCATGATTAAATCTTAACAGAACAACCGTAACGACTCCGGAACGTCTGATGCCGGCATACGAAGCTATTCTCTGACTGGTCAAACGTGCAAGAAAGAAGCATGACTTCTATCAGTTTTGAATGGCTGACATCGGTTACCAAATGTCTGTCCAGTTCAGATAGTATGACCTGATTTACCCATCAATCTGACAGCCTTTTGATTATATTATAAAACAGCCAAAATGTTATCCACAATGCAAAAAAGTATTCATGTCAACTTTGATTCACAGTCTTGAGTATAATAGGCTAAAAATCTCTGATCAACAATATAACACCCGTTTCCCAATGAAAATGTTTTCCTCCATTGTATTCCATATGAATAAGCTCTAATATGGCTGATGGCATTTGGACTCATATTAACAGTGCAGACTAAAGAGTCAGGTCACGAAACGAGTGACGTTTTTCAAGTTCCAAGTTCTTCTCTCCGACGATTTACTTACCAGCATTTTCTGCGCTTGATGGCAAGTCACAATCCATTCCCAAGTCAAGTCAAATCTGATCCGAGAACGGTCAAATCATAGTTTCCATGAGGTAATTCATGACACTATTGGACATTTGTCCGTTTCATCCAGTACATCTCATTGTTCTCTTATTTTACTGATGACGGTGACACACACCTACACCTCTTTGAGAATGACACTTTGGCAAACTCTGAGGCAAGGTCAACTGCTGTCATTGGATTCAGAAAAAAAGTAACCCCTAAACCAATTGGCTTTTACATTAGTTGGAATGCACTAACTAGAGAACAAAATGGCCTATTCTAATAATGAACCTTTTGACTTTTATGTCTCCTCGGATCATGTCTGAATGGTGCCGTCATGACACTATATGCTACACACACGTCAGAGGAAACCTGAGTCCCTCTTCACTTTTCTGTTTGTTGAGATATGACAATTTAGGGATCTACAGAATCACTTAGGGCATAGTCTCATATTTCTGATACACTGTGTATTCTCTTCAAATGGGTCTCATTCCTGACCACCTTCTTATCTCCTTCCTTTTTCATTCCTCATTTCGGTCTTCTGCCTTTTTTTCCTTCCCTTCCTTCGGCTTGCGCAATCACACTTCATTAATCCATCTCCTTACCATCTTCCGTCTCTCTTTTTGCGCTCACACGGTTACTTCGTTCTTGCTCCCCGTCCTCAGCGCCTGACCTCCACCCCCGCCCCCTCCCCCACCTCCTCCGGGGAGGAAGTGCAGCTGTTCGACGGTGTTCTGCCGTTTGTTGGCGAAGGCCATCCGGCGAGCGCTGTGCGCCATCGCTCCGGGCCCTCCTCCGGAGCTGTGGACGTCCCCCACCCCAAAGTCCCAGCCCCGTGACCCGACGACATCCCAGCGACCGCGTGGTCTTGCTCGCGGCCGGAGGTAGGGTGCGAATTCATTTTGATCATGTGATGGCGGTCGAGTGAGGGCGTCATGCACACGTTCTGCTGGGATTGCGCTTTCTGGTGGTAGGAGAGACGGGACACGGTGGACACCATCCCGCTATAATCGGCCATCATTCGCTCTTCCAGGCGGTCTGGCGACACCAGGAGGCGTTCGTGAGACTTGCGCAAAGTCTGGGTATTGGAGCTCTTGCTGGTGGTCATGGGTTTGTAATACTGATGCTGCTGGTTCTTGGAGAGGCGTGAGAGAGTGTTCCCCTCCCCCAGTGCCAGAAGCTGGTCTTGGGACATCACCCGGCGAGGCGGTTTACTCATTGTGTCAAAGGTGGGGTTGTACTGTGTCTGGGGTAAAGGGTAGGGGTTGGGGGTGGAAGTGGAACTGGGCACATGGATGCGCGTGCGGGACATGTTTAGCGGTAGGGTTCCCCGGGCACCCAGTGTGAAGTCACCGCCCCAGGGCAGGTGGTGCTGGGAGGAGTGGAAGCTGGGCTGGGCGTTGTTTGGCCTTCGCTTGGAGGTGTAATATCCGGAATAGTCATCCAGGTTTTTTTCTGTAGTTAGGAAAATGTAAAATAAATATCACTCATGCGTTAAATAAATAAATATCACACAACATGCGTTTTTGTGATCAGATCGCACTTGACCGCATTAAAACAATGCACCGTTGTATTTGACAGATGTTGACCACATTTAATGAAGGTGTAACATTCAAATGTGTTTTTGTTACTCGCATTCAGCTATGCAATGCTAAAAAAACACTTAAAAACACTGTGTTGCAGATTTGTAACAGATTGATAACACCTCACAAACACTTTTTTTATATTAAATCATGCATTAGGTATGATAAACTAACAATGGACGGCATTAAAATTAAAGGCAAGGCAAGGCAAGTTTATTTATATAGCACATTTCATACACAATGGCAATTCAAAGTGCTTTACATAGAAGAAATTAAAATAATCCAAAAAAGAAATCAGAATAATTAAAACAGTTTAGAATAAAAAATAAGAAATAATGAAAAATAAAAATTATGATAAAAATAAAATACAGTAAATTAAAACCATTTAGAATAAAATGAAGTGCAGTAACAGAAATTAACAAAAAATAATTTCTTCATGTACAATTTTTTCAAAAATATATTTTAATACTTTATTAGTATTTTAATATTGATGTAAATATTTTTATATTTTTAAAAACAATGAACAATCAACATTTTTAAATTGATTTAATGCTTTATCTTTAATCAATATCTGGGGTGGGGGGGTCAGACGGACATATCTGGCACCACTTAAAACTATCCTCACTTAAATGCATAATAAATGTAATTTTCCTGTATCCTACAGACATTGAATAAGGATATAAAACAGTCCGCACTGCATAAATTATAAATGAAACATAGATTAATCCTTATCAAAGCTACAAGCGTTATTTATTCAAGAGCAGTTAGTGATTTTCTCTGTTCCCTTAGTTCTTTAGGTTCACTTTACTGACATACAGACTTAATGGCTCCTGTCACTTTAAGATCTGTCGCTGCTGACATCAAGCGCGAAAGAGAACTCGATCCAGGTGTGCGTCTTTCTGTGAGGACATTCACTGACAGCGCGTTCTCTTTTGTCTTGTCGTGCATAAGTGGTTTAAAGCATTTGCGAGAAGAGCATGGTCATAACCCTAGCTAAAGGATGAAAGAAAGAATGGATGCTGCGTTTGCATTAAATATAGCAAAAATTATATTTTTTTCCGCACGCCAGAGATCCGTAATACTTTAAGCCCTGTATGTATCATGGTTTCCGTTGTCTGGTAATAACCGGACATTGGCTGTGGAAAAAAATAAATGTCCAACAAAATTAAATCTCTCCGGTCAAATTGTCCAATTAAAATTGCCTAATCATCCCGCCCCCCTAACACAATCTGAATGTGAGAATAAGCCTAAAATGTATAAAGCAAAAATACACTGACCTTTGGCTATGTTATAAAGGAACAGGCTCTACCGTTTGAAAGTTATGAAACAACATCGCATGCTGCATTTCAAATAAAGAGCACGCCTAAAACGGCTGTAATATAGACCTAAACAACGAACGTGTTTTGAAACAAATGTTTCAAATATGGCCACGCCCAGGCAGACTAGACTTAAAAGCTTTTTTCAGAGGCCAGACGCGACGGACGATGGTGAATCAGAAACATCTAATTTTATAGATCAGTGGATCTTTAATCATTTTATAGATAAGTGGGGTGGTGATGGCGCAGTGGATAAGACACATGCCTTTGGTGTGAGAGACCCCAATGTGTCCCTGAGCAAGACACTTAACCCCTAGTTGCTCCAGAGGCGTGAGACCTCTGACATATATAGCAAATTTAATTCGCTTTGGATAAAAGCGTCAGCTAAATGAATAAAATGTAAAAAAAAAATAATAATAAAATCTAATCCGCGCACTCGTTTTTTTTCTCTCAACAAAACTGAATAGCCTATGTTCATCAGTGGTTGCAGCCTATATCAAGCAGGGACACGTTTGTGTGCATTTTATTTTGTGATTTCACCAGAATGAATAGAGAGTCTCCGCAATGATGATAGATTGAAACGCGCGTCCGAGTGAAAATTGCGCAACTCGTGCAGCGTGTCGTCCAAGCAACTGATAGCAGCGGACATGATTTCAAAAACAACAGATTTTAGTAGCAGATTTTAGACTTTAATAGCGAACTAAATTAATGATCTGCTAGTTAAATGGAGATGTTTTATTAGGTACATCCATATACCTCAATGTTTCAAAAAGTGAATGTGTGTGAAACCAATGTAAAAAAACAATTGGCATTGATTGACGCCAATCGGACGTTCATCTTTTTTCCCATCTATTTGAAAGTTAGGCTAAGTATAACATGTTGTATTCTATATGGCCTGACATTTTTTACATAGCCTGCCTCCAGTTTTCCTCAACTTGACTAATTAAGAGGCGATTTTTGACCGGCATTTCATCAAAATGTTCGTCAAACAAAACCTCTGCCGGTTACTCTGACCGGCACCATTTTTTTCTAGCTGAAACTCTGTTATGTATAATAGCGGCCAATCTCAACCCTTTTTAAAAAGCCATTTTTTTACTGCAAGTCAACTTTCTTGTAGTCATTTCCAAATTCTTTCAATTATAGTTTTCAGGCAGTGATTGAATATGACTGGATATGATCAATAGAAATATTTGAAATAATAAAATTATTTGTGCAAAAACGATCCAATGCCACAGAGCATCCTTCCTAAAAAAAAAAAAAGTAATAGTTGACCCCTTGCTACACTCTCTCACAGAGGCCCTCTGAGTAGTAGCAGCTTTGAAATCACACACTCTCATTTTCAGACACTCACTCACCTAGTCTCTTGAGGGAGCTGTAGCGGTTAAGCTCTGGTTTCATGGCTGTATCGTATGATGGAGGTAGCTGGGCAAGGTTGTGGAAGGAGTGAGAGAAGGAGGGGTGAAAGCCAGAATTATTGTGCTTGCTGGACATCAGTGTTCCTGTGGAGGCCAACTGGGTGTTGTTCATGCGCTGAACTCGCTCTAAGAGTGGAGAACAAAGAAGAATAAGACAAATACCAACAACCGATGTGTTCAAAGCATATCTATCTGGGTCGAATGTAGAATATGGCTCTAATTGTTGGTGACTGGAACACAGAAGCTTTGCCCCGATTCTCTAAATGACGGGAAGATGTCTAAGAATCACAATGCAATTGGAACATTTGTGTGCCTAGACTACTGTTCATCGCTTCACTTTCCCTCTAAATTTAATATCCTCATGTAATGATACTATCCTTATTCATGTAGTAATTTGTTCCACAGACACTTTTTACTTACAGTAATTTGCCGTACACATACTACAGAGAACGTCCCCCTGGAGCAACCTTGGTTTAAGCACTGCAGATTAAATGTAGTCAAGGACACAGTGGTCACATGGGAACTCAGCAATTCTCTAGTTCATAGATCATCCTTGCTGAGATTCAAACTTAAATACCTTGCAGTTAGAGTCCGGTTCTTTAATCACTAAACCTAATTCATCATGGCATATGCAATATGTGCAATTTTGACCCATAAAGTAAAAGTTAAATGGTTTTTAATACTATTACTATCTATCTATCTATGCAGAATAACAAGACAATGTACATTATACAAAATGTATTGATGAACAAAATTCCTTATTTGGTTTTATAACCCCCCACACCAACCCTCAAGGTAACAAACACTCATAAAATAACAACAACAATAGTTATAATAGGAAACAACATCTGAAAATGCAAATACCATAGACAATATATCTATCTATCTGGTTTGTGAGCCATGAATTCAA